GAGGTCACTAGTACCATAGAGTCCACAGTAACAAATTGGAAAACGTAGCTGATTTTAAGAGGATGAGAATGGGACTGGGAAATAAACTCGACAAAGTTATGCACAAACAAATAAATAGAACAGCTTTCAGAAATATTTAACATTGTGAACTGAGTCCAAGATATATGTACTGCTAAAAAGAAAGGACAAACAAGCCACTTTGATGTACTGTGGTTAATAAATAAATAAAAGCATTATTGAATTTTTTTTTACAAATATACAAAATATAAGTCAAAGTATAGAATGACAATAGAGAACACAATTTTCTTTTAAATTAGAAAGGCAAAGAGAAAGTACCAAGTTAAATTGGCAAAAAATACAGAAAGGAATAAAATATACTGCATTCTCATAAATTGAAAAAACTGGAATAGAGATATACAGGCAATAATAGCAAAATGACAGTAATACTAAATAATAATTTGCTTCATATTTGCCAGGGACACTAAGATACTGAACACACTTCAATAGAGATTTTTATAAGTTATAAAGGCATTTACGATAGAATAGTGGGAATCTGGGGTGAAGTTTGGTAGACTAATCAAATTTAGGATAAGCTCTTTAGTCTAAATGAGTTGCATCCATTCATTTTAAAACCTACTACGGAAGACGTAGCAGGGACATTTTCTTTTAATAGAGACTTTTGTATGTGTGAGAAAGAACCAATGGAAAGCTAGTGTGTTTCCCCTTTTTACAAGAGGGCGATCAAACGTACCCAGGCAAAAGTAGACCAATCAATGATGGGAACAGTATTGAAATCCTTGCTCAAAGGTGTGACTTCAAAATCTGGAAGCTCGACTTTGGTCAGTATAGATTGCAGAAGGAAGGTCATGCTTGACCAACATTATTGAATTATGCGAAGAAGGGTAAATCGGAGTAATGATGTGAATGTAGTATACTTGGAATTTCAAAACATTCTTTGGTCAGGACAGAACATTTGGAGTTAGGGGACACATAAGTATGGTTTAGAGACTGCCTACAAACTAGAAAGCATAGCGTAGTTGCTTAGACTGGCAAAAAGTAGTAATTGTGTTCCATAGGGATTGATGCAAGAGTTACTGTTATTTCTTTGTTCAAACTATTTGGAATTGGCAGTACAATTTCAATTTGCAGATGGCATCAAGACGTTCTTAATGAAAATGCAGACTGCAACAAAGTTGTAGGAGATTGTTAACATAGTTGTAGGATGGGTGTGTGATTGACAAATGAAATTCAACACTTAAGAAAAATGAGTTGTTTTTAAAATATGAATAAGGAATGCTCATTCATACCCATAGGAAAACTAGTTTCTCTATGGAATCGAGGAGGAAAGCAATCTAGGGATACAGTTATTTAGGATCCAAAAGTAGTGATGCAGGTTAATAATGCCATAAAGGTTCATTTCTAGAGAGAGAATGGAAAAGCGGACAAGTTATATTTAGACCTGGATGGAACATTGAGACTATACTTGGAGTGATAGTTCTGGTCTCGTGTTATGAAAAGGATATTCAGACAAAGAAAAATCTGCAGAAGGTTATTATCGGAACTTAGTTATACCTATCAGGAATTATTGAACAAGTATGTTTTTTTGTCTGGAAAAGTTGTGATTGGAAGCGCTACAATAGTGCAATAATTTGCATGGAATTATTTAGCATTATTTTAGAGCGCATCTCTGTTTTACAATTCCTTTTAAAAGCCAGTTTTAAAAAGGTTCTCGCCCTCAAATCCTAAATATTTAGTAAGTTTATCTTCATGTATCAGTTCAGTTCCTGGTCTGCTCTGGGTTATCTGATCACAGCTGGTTTGGAATACAGTTTTAAGAAAAGGTAAAATTACCAGAGTCTGACCTGACCATAAAGTTGCTATCTCATTAGAGAGAAACAACTGATGGTGGTTTCACCTGAGGATTACCACACCTCAGACAAAGGAAAAGGTTGAGAAGGAGAATCCATCAGCTTACTCTGCATCACAAACCAGCCGTCTAGTCAACTGAGCTAACCAACTCCCCTCTGGAATAAGGATACTACAATTGGTCTAATTTTCCAGGGTTAGAATCATAGCGCCATAGAATCCCTACAGCGGGGAAGCAGACCATTCAGCCCATAGAGTCTACACCGACCCTCAAAAGAGCAGCTCACCCAGACCCCTCCCCAACCGCGTGTTGCCCGTGACCTACACTCCCACATGCGCACACCCAGACCCGCACATCTTTGGACTGTAGGAGGAGACTGAAGCACACGGACGAAACCCCCATAGATACATGTGCAAACTCCATGCAGAAAATCGGCTGAAAGGAAAGGAATGTAGTTGAGTGTTCTCACTTCTTATCCAGTGATCCCTCGTGTTTCATTCAGATCAATGGTTTTCTGCGACACAGAACACTGATGTGCGGTGAGAGCTGTCCAAAGTAAAATATAGCTGATACTTGTGAAAATTAATCATCAAATTTTGCTAGCCAATTGGATACAAAATTGGCTAGAAGGAGGAGACAGGGTGGTGATAGAGTTGCTTTTCAGTCTGGAGGCCTGTGACCAGTGGTGTGCCGCAAGGTTTGGTGCTGATTCCACTGCTTTTCATAATTTATATGAATGATTTGGATGTGAATATAGGAGGCATGGTTAGTAAGTTTGCAGATGACAGCAAAAAAGGTGGTGTAGTGGACCGTAAAGAAGATTATGTCTGAGGACAACAGGATTTTGATCAGATAGGCCAATGGGCCGAGGAATGGCAGGTGTAGTTTAATTTGATAAATATGAGGTGCTGCATTCTGATAAGGCAAACCAGGGCAGTACTTATACAGTTAACGGTAGGGCCCTGCGGAGTGTTGCCAAGTAAAGAGACCTAGGGATGTAGGAGCATAGTTCCTTGAAAGTGGAGTCGCAAGTAGACAGGGTGGTGAAGAAGGTGTTTGGCACTCTTGCCTTCATTGCTGTAAACATTGAATATAGCAGTTGGGACAGCATGTTTAACTATACAGGACATTGAGGCCAGTTTTAGAATGCTGAATACAATTTTGCTTGACCTCCTATAGGAAAGATGTTGTAAAACTTGAGAGGCTGCAGAAAAGATTTACAAGAATGTTGAGAGGACTGGATGATTTGAGTTATAGGGAGAGGCTTAGTAGACTGGGGCTTTTTTTCTCTGGAGCATCAGAGGCTGAGGAGTGACCTTGTAGAAGTTTATAAAATCATGGGGGCACGGATAGAGTGAATAGCCAAGGTCTTTTTCCTAGGGTGGGGAGTCCAAAACTAGAGGCGATAAGTTTAAGGTGAGAGGGGAAAGATTTAAAAAGGACGTGAGGGGTAACATTTTCCTGCAGAGGGTGGTGTGTGTGTGGAATGAGCCACCAGAGGAAGTGGTGGAGACTGGTTCAATTACAACATTTAAAAGGCATCTGGTTGGGTACATGAATAGGCAAAATTTAGAGAGATATGGGCTAAATGCTGGCAAATGGGACTAGGTAAGACTGGGATGCAAGCGCAGACAAGTTGGACCGAATAGAATGTTTTTGTCCTGTATGACTCTTTAAATTAAAAGTGGTGTATCGGTGTCTTGATTCTAGAACATGTGAACATCCCAAGAATAGGGAGCCACAGATAAAATTTAGATCTTGTGATAGTTTCAATTAGTGACCAAGCAATGGTGTTGGCATGCTTTTTATTTGTTGAAATGAGACAAAACAAGCTAATGACCGTAGGGAATGCTTGTTGATGGAACAGATTCGCAGGTGGCCATCTCACTAGTTCCTCCTAGATCAAAAGACTCTGCGCACCGCTGGCAGGCTCAAGTTTCCCACTAACCCGATAAATTGCAATTTACTCTACTTTACGATCCATGGAATTTCAATTCTGTATTGCTTCAGTGCAGAATGTGGAACAGATTTAGGGCCATGAACAGCCAGAAATAGTTGAATTAAGCAGATTTTTAAAAATTGTCATTCTTGTATATGTGATCCTCCTTTAGCTTCTTGTATTCACTATGCTGTAAACTTTTCTTGTAAAACCATATCCATGGTAAATGAAAGGAAATGTGATGTCTAAGAGCAATCAATTCAGCTGACAAAAGTGGGTGTGCTGTAGAATTGTTCGTTTCAGTGAAGAGTGTTATGTTACCATATTGGGAACCACTGATTTAGATAGATATCATCCTTGACTCTGGTAGCACTCCCCCCTCTGTCATAAAATTGCTGATTCAAGTGACACACAAGCTCATAATCTAGGCTAGTGCTTCTGTGCAGTACCAAGAAGATGCTGCACTGTTGAAGATCCTTTCTCTCAGATGACAACACTAAACCAATGTTCCCTTTGTCCCATTGGAGGATATAAAAGCCCATGTTAAGAGAAGAGGGGGTGTTTTATCATTAAATTCCATTGCTGTTTGTGAGTCCTTGCTGTTCACAAATTACTTGCTATGTTTTTGACATTGACTGCAGTGACTACTTTTGAAACTTTCTTTGCTGAAAGTGCTTTGCAATATTCCCAAGTCATGAAAGTCTCACTTTTTATAAAGCCATTCTTTTTCTGTAGTCTTCTGCTATGAAAAGCCTGTCTAGAGTCACATGAAAAGTTGCATCTTGAGAGGTATTGAAAGTAATCAAGAGGCTAAAACTGTACATCAACATAGAAAGAGGCATGGACAGAAAAATTGTGAAAAATATATTGCAAAAATGTTGTAATAGTCAACAGATTTTTAACTTGTTTGGGTGACTGTTGACGCCATCTAAGCTGGTAGTCAACGAATTTCTACAGATTGTTGGGAAGTGCAAAGTTTGGCTCTGCATGTGTAATTTAAGTTAACTTATAAAGAGCTAAGAAAATCCTTATGCATATTGAATGTTATAAAAAATTGTAATATATTGTGAGCTTCAACATTCCCATAGTTATTTTAACTCATAATTTGCATAAGGGTATCCATCAGAATCCATTGTCGAATATTATGATAAGAACATTCATGTGTGGTAAACATGACTTTTTTTTTTCTGACAGTCTAATGAGAAATCTTACATTGATAACGGAAAATCCAGAAGAAGCCTACCAATCGCAAAACATCATTTGGCACAGATTTTCTGATGCATTTGCTGCTGCTAGCAGCCTCATTTCATATGCCCCAGTATTTAAAACCTACTTCTATGAAGCTTTGAAGGAATTCTGTCATGATAACGTACAATACATAGAGATACGAGCATTGCTGCTACCGGTATGTACAAAATGCTTCATTGAGGAAATGATTTGTCATCAAGTTGTTTTAGACCAAAGCAGAACTTAAGAAAGCAATTTTCTTCCTTCTATTTTCTAATAGTCTAAATGTTTAAGTTGTGCAACTCTATACGATCACTGTTTCACAAACACTACTGTTCTGTCAATGGCACAGATGGGAAGTGATGGCTGATGACCCACGTAACAGGTGGGGTATAAGTATAGCTAACTAAGCCATGTTACCGTAGTAATACAGCTTTCAAATATCTACAATGCAGTTTCTTTCGTCTGTAACTTTGCCTTTATAATAAAAGAGCAAAGCCAAATATAAGTAAGAGGGGAACCAATAAACAGCTGAGAGAAGTGCACACCAAGAGTTACTTGGCGAAACCAGCTCTTCGTGTTGAATTTGTTCTTTCCTATATACATACTGAAACCCTCATGCCATTCTGTAGTTTCACAGCCTAGGCCTCTCAGCCCCTTGCTTTGATTTGAACTAGTCATCCTGTCCTCACAGTAATCATTCGTGTGGAATCTCATCATTGTGTTGTGGGGCACCCACTGCATAACTCTATTTGCTCGCTCATGTGTGAGCTGCAGTTGACAATGACACTGACTGCATTTTCAGATATAGAAAATGCTCCATGAGTCAATGACATTTCTGCATTGGTCTTCAAACATGTAAGTTAACCTTTCAGCCAATTGCTGCTTCAGCAAACTTGGGCAGATTCAACAGATGTTATAATATGTGTTAATGGAACCAGTAGATGTTAAGATATCATGAAATTATGATCCTATACTACCTGCAGTTGGTTTGGTTCTGCAGTGACAGGGGCATAGGTGAACAAGCAAATGCTTTTGGGCTTCCAAAGTGCACTGCACACATTAGAAGTGGTGCATCAATATTTTTCTAAACCACCTATTCAGAGATGTGAGAAATGGTGCATAGCATATTATCTTCTCTAATTGACTAGTTGCCCTCTAAAATTCTCAATAATGCAGTTCAGCACAGATAATCTTGTCTGTGGTAAACCAGTGCACAGAAAGCCATTCCCTCACATATGTTATGACTCAGAAATTAGCTCCAGAAACTTATTGGATTGCCAGTTATATTCCCACATTTTCATAAATAATTGACTATAAATTATATATATTAATTCAGTTTTATCATCTGTATTTCACACGTCTCAATTTATTAAGCATGGTGTTCTGAAATCATAAAGTAAGCAATTTTCTGAGAAGCTTGGTGTTCACTTAAGAGCATAGCAAATAGGAGCTGGAATGGGTCATTTGGCCCCTCAAACTTCTTCCATCATTCAATTAGATCATGGCTGATCTCCCTCACCTCTGCTTCCCTGCACACATGCTAGTAAGAGTTCAGGCCACAAAATCTTGTGCTTATTTTCTGATTCATTTAAAGAGATGATAATCTTGGTCAGCTGCCAATAGGATTACGGGATTACAGTTCATTTTAGGAGAGGAAAGTAGGCAGGGGCTCTGCTCTGATCATAATGAGAAAAGATAGCTGATCATTATCAACTACTGATCAAATAGTGTCGATATTTTATCAAGGTTCACCAATAAGTTAGTGGTATTTTACTTCAATTGTTTCAAAGCCTATCTTGCATTAAAGATATCTATAACCAGAGTTATTTGAATAGAATGCGTGTCAGTTCAGGGGTGGTCTTGGATTTATTAAAGTAAGACCCTCTTCAGTGAGAACCATAGTTTCAGCCTTGTTTGTTAGTCTATTTCATTCTCGAACATGTCATCCCACCTCAATGTTAAATCCAACTTTGATCATCTTGTAACACTTGAAACTACTGTGGCCAAAATCATGAATGATGTCCTCTATGACTGTCAGCTTACTGCTTTATCCCTTTTTAGTCAACCATGTTATTCTTCAGCAGCTTTCTATGTGTCAGCTTTATGTCCTTGCATTGGTCCTATCCAAATGCAACCATTCTATCTCTAGCAATGGTTTCTTTGTCAATCTTATAAAATTTACCTGTAGAGTCCCTCGCAGACCCATGCTTGATCCTCTCTCTTCCTCATCCTAGTTGGGTGTTGTTTCCATACATAGATTCACCTTCTGTATGCTAGGACATGAAGCTCTAGATCAACTGACACCGTCTTCTCTGTGCTGTTCGAGTCCCTAACTCGGACTAAGTTGTGGATGAACCAGTCTTCGCTCTGTGTGATATCATTGTAGGCAAATGTTTAATGCAAGTCTATGGACCCTATCAACACTCTTAGCAATAGTGCTGAAGACTTGTGCTCCAGAACTTTCCACACCTCCACCCATACTATTGTAGTACACGTTACAACACTGGTATCTACCCAGCCATGTGGTAAATTGCCTAGGTGTACCCTGTACACAAAGCAGGACAAATCCAACCTGAGCGTTTACCACCCAATTGATCTACTCTTGATCATCAGTAGAATGATGGCAGGAGTCATCAACAGTGCTATCAAGCAGCATATGCTTAGCAATAACCTTGTCACTGATACCAGTTTGGGTTCCACAGGGCCACTCAGCTCCAGACCTTCCATTACAGCCCTTGTTCAAAAAAGAACAAAAGAGCTGAATTGCAGAGGTGAGATGAGAGTGACTGCACTGGACATCAAGGCCACATTTGACTGTGTGTGGCATGAAGGAGCCTGAGGAAACACTGGAGTCTGTGGGAATCATAAGGAACTGCTGTGATGGTTGGACCTGGTACAAGGAAGTTGGTTAGGGTGGTTGGTGGTCAGTCACCTCAGCTGTAGGACATTCCTGCAGGAAGTTTATCAGGGTAGTATCTTAAGCCCAAACATCTTCAGGGGTTTCATCAATGACCTTCATTCCATCATAAGATCTGAACTGGGGATATTCACTGATGACTACAAAATAACATCCACCATTTGTGACTTCTTAAGTATTAAAGCAGCCTATGTCCAAATGTGGAACAACTTGAGCAATAGCCAGGTTTGTGGAAACAACTGCAAGTAACATATGGGCCACACAAGTGCTAGCCAATGACAACCTCCAACAAGAGAATCTAACCAGCACCCTCAATGTTCAATAACAAAACTAACTGAAAAGTTGAAAACAATATAACTAATGAGAAAAAAATCTTTTTACAGGCACTGAGATAATACTTTCTTTCAATGAAACCCGTTTGCCAGTCTATGAGCAAAGTACAAACTGTTGGTGATGGTTTACCAGTGGTTCTAAGTTTCTGCACACAACCTAAATATTTTAACTTTTTAAATGAAACCTGTGTGCAAGTCTGAAGTGTGACTTCACCTCACTTTGGACACTACAAATATTCTCTCAAATGTACACAGGGTAAGAACAAATAAACTTGAGACAATTCATCTCACTATTGCATTGTTAATGAAATTTCAGTATCTCACTTATACCTTTAAAATTTTTGAATTGCAATATCTTGATTATGTATTCAGAATTGGAAGGTAATGCCAATACAAACTATTTGTACTGAAACCAATTTGTAAGGTTTCTTTGGACTATTAGTTACTCTGTGACAGACCTGTGATCCTGCACAAAAACTAGTTGAGAAGCAGGATTGAACCACAGCTTTGCTCTGTGCAATGGCGAAGCGATCCTTGTATGCAGCTTCTATGCAAAAATCAGTGCATGATAATTAGCCAAGGGAAATTTTGTTTGCATTTCAGTTAATGGTTCAATTAAACCAGAATCAGAATGGTATTAAATCATACAACTTTTTTATTTATCAAAATAGAACACTGAAAAGAAAGGGGGGAGAAAAGAGGTAGATAAAGTAACAGAATGGACAGTGAGCAATTTTGGAAGATCTAGGGAAGTTGACTAAAAGCTCAGAGGAAGAGATGATTTTTATGAAGAACTTAAAAGATGAATATAAAATACAGAGGCAAAGAGCTTAGGCAGAGAATCGTGGAGAGTGAAACTGTTAGCTGAAAGCTTAACACAGATGATGGAAATGGATTAAAGACTAGGCAGCCCCAAGCCATAGGACTGAAAGGTGTGGGAGAGCCATAAGATGTGACAAGATTGCAATAGGTGGTGCGAATTTAGACTATGAGTGGATCCAGATCCAATGTGGGAAGGGATTTCAAATTCAAAGCATTGAGGAGAGATTGTTAAAGAGGGCTTAGTGTGAGACAGGGTGCAGAGTCTGAGCCTTGGACAAATTGTTGGGAAATCAGCAAGGAAAACATTAACATGCTGAGATAGCAAGAATTGCAGATGCTGGAGTTGGAGACAATACAGTGTGGAGCTGGAGGAACAGAGCAGGCCAGGGAAAATCAGAGGAGCAGGAAAGTTGACGTTTCGGGTCAGGACCTTCCTTCAGAAATACAAAAAAAAGGGTGCTGATCCGATGCTGCCTGGCCTGCTGTCTTCCTCTAGCTTCACGAAGCATTAATACTCTGACAACTTTTCAGCAATAGCACTGAAGACATTTGTGCACTTAGCCAAGCTTTCTAGTACAGTTACAATATGGCATGTGTCTGATAATGTGGAAAATTGCCCAGCTGTGTCCTGTCCACAAAAAAAAGGACAAATCTAACCCAGCTAATTACCACCCTGTCTACCCTCAATCATCAGCACAGTGATGGGAGATGTTATCAAAAATTCTATCAAACAGCACTGGGGCTTGTAAACAGCAATATGACAGCAACAGTTCTAGAAGGAAGATTGCTGTCACCTTCTCACCTTTAGTGGAACTAAGGATGTACAATTAGTGCTGACCCAGACAGCAGTGCACACATCGCATTGGTGGAGAAAAAGTACTCAATAATAACTTGCTTACTGATATTTAGTTTGGGTCATGACCCGCTCAGCTTCTGGACTCCGTACATCTTTAGTCGAAACATAAACAAAAGAGCTGAATTGTAGAGGAGAAGTGAGGCTGACTGTCCCTAATATCAAGGCAGCAGCTGACATGGCATCTAGGGTTCTTGGGAAAAAAACTGGACCACTGGTATAGCTTTTCATAGCCAAGGCCCAGCACCAAC